CTACCGAATGTGTAAGATTTGGGATGACAGTCACATGTTAGTAGGGTGACTTTGAACATGAATTGACCATTTTTATTAGACCTAAGTTCGATATTATTCCTGCATGAATTAATATCTATCAGGCAAAATAATCATAAGGGTCTCAATATTAAGATGCTTTTTTTCGAAGTCTACTTGATTTGAGTAATTAAGCCTATGTGGTTTCTCATAACCCGATTCCTATGGTCTGGGATGGTAAAAAAACTCGTCGGCTCGGGCTCGGCCCGGAAAAAGCCCGAGCAGTTCCCTACTCGGGCTCGTGCTCGAGCCGCACGAGTCGGCCCGTAATTAATAAAAAAAATTTAAAAGCTGTCTGCTTAGGAGGCAGCTAAGAAAGAAAAAAATAAAAAATCAAGCAGGCTCGGCCCGCTAAGGTTCGGGGCCGAGCCTTATTTTTTTTGGCCGGGCTTGGGCCCCAAAAAAGCTCGAGCCGAGCCTGATATTTTTTTTCGGCTCAACTCGTTGACATAGCTACTATGGTCATCTGATTTGGGTTAATCGACGTAAAACTCGTTACAGAGGTCATGTTAGTCGCTTGATGGAAAGGAGCCTGCACTTACGATGAATAAAAATATGTGATAATTCCTATTGAAAGTTGTGATAAAAAGAAAAATATTTGTGTTGTAAGTCAGGGGGAGAAAATAAATTTTTCATTAGAAATGAGCTTTCATATGTAGGTTCTAATGTGCTACACGGTTTGACTTTCATAAGTAGAGAAATATAATTATTAGTTGTGATGTTTAGCATGTCATTTCTTACAAATTTAAGGTTTGGAGTCCTACTACTAGAGGATTAGTGACACTTAACACATATGAGTCACTTATATCATTTACTTCATGGGTGTTTTAAGTTGAAATTGTGGGAAAATTTACTGTTCCTTGCATATGCTTGTGATTGCTTATACCTATATTATTGAGATGTTGTGTGATTTTGTTTTGTCCCTTGTCATTTGTGACAAAAAGGGGGAGAAGATTGTATTGAAAGGTGGAGACACATAATACACATTTATTGTTTGAGCAGCTACACATATCTTTAGGGGTTGATGGGGTGAGACATAGATACATTTTGACATTTGACTTGATTTACATTGCATTGATTTTTACACTTATGTCTTAAGTCTTGAGGGGTCGTTGGGGAGAGACATAGATACATGTACATACTGTTTTAACACTTTGAGTATTTGCAGTAAGGTAATCTTGTGCATTACATTNTGGGGAGAGACATAGATACATTTATTTACTGTTTTAACACTTTGAGAGTTTGCAGTAAGGGGGCTTGTGCATTACATTTGCATTGCATATCATGCACTGATGGGGAGCATGCGCATTGTATTTGTGTTGCATTTCATGCATAGCTGTTTGAGTTTTGATGTTTTGTGATATTAATGTGGTCATGGTGTTTTGGTTAGCATTAATATTGAATCTCAAACTAGCTTGCTACTTTATTGCTTATTTCTTGTATCATGTGCTTTTACACGGGGTATGTGAGTCTTTGATTTCAGGATACAGGTTTAACAATGTGGAAGCTACATTCAGTTGATTCAGTTGGACTTGGGTAGTTTTGATAGTATATTTTTTGTATTGTATTTGATTTTGTCATAGAATGCCAAAGGGGGAGTTTGTTAGGTTTCTATATTGTATTGGCGATTCTGTGAACAAAAGGACCAATTATGATTCACGCCGATTTTTCGCTAGCTGCTCGTCGGAGTGATGCTCGAACGGATGAAACAGAGGCACCATTGGTCGACCTTCG